TTAAATAAAACAACAAACAAACAAACAAATTTATTATATAGAAAATAATTATAAAATCTGTTATTGTCTAAAAATATATGTATATTTTATGAATATTGTTCATATATTGTGCTTTGTTTTCTTTTTAAATTAAAAATAAAGTTTATTTATTTCTATCTGATTGATTGTATTATTTTATTCTTATACCAATTACAATCTAAAATGTATTTTCTATTGTTCCAAAAAATATGAGTTGGGCCATTTTCTTCCCCTTTTTCAAAATTAAATAAAGTGCTAATTTCAATTGCAGTTTTTGATCTCACCAGACCAACTCCTCCTACTTTTTCTGGTGCAGGATGATACAATCTTCCTGATTGAACATTCATATGTAATTTGTCTGGTTGAAATGGTATCTATGATAAATTTATTATATAACATTAAAAATCAAGTGGACCACTATTTAATTACTATTAAAATTAGAAGTACCATTAATAATTCTTCTGCATGAGCATAACCAAACCAATCTTCAATCTTGCCTGTTTCACTATTTTTTTTTTGAAAAACTTTTGTAAAAACTATTGGTAAATCATCACATCTGACAAAATTTCTTTCTGGACCACAAAGAGAAACATAAGGAAAATCTTCTATGTATCTGCCTGTGTCATTCTTTTTTAAGCGCTTAAAAAAGAATGCCAAAAACTTTTTATCTAAAATAATATTGTTTTCATGATATCTGAATTCATATATATTATGAATTATTCTATTGCTTATGCACACCTTTAAAACATGATGTGAAGTTTTTCATACGCGCATCATCTAGAAATAGCTGTAGCAAGTAAGATAAAATATTTAATATGATTCTATCTCAAATTTCTATACTTTTGACTATCATAAATTTAATTAACGAAACAAATTGTACCATGCCTTGGTGATCAATATAATAGAAATATTCACGAACTCGAGGTTCTGGAGATTGTCCTTGCACATATTTTATACAGTATCTTTTAAATATCTGAGAGTAAAGTAATTTCTTACTTTGAATCATGAGTTCACGTGAAAAATCAAACGTAAACATCTTATTTTTTATATATGTGACAAGTTAATATTATTTCAATATGCATAACCTCACTTTTAAATGTTTATAATATACTCTAAACTATCGTTATGTCACGTATAACGTAATACGTATGAATCAAGTAACAACATGGTATACTCAAGCAAAGTAATTAATTACAAATTCACGATACAGCTTCAGATAATGTTTTATTGTGTTTTCTTTTATGTCAATTTTATTATGGTCACTTCGTCATTTGCTAGGGTCAAAATTCAATTGACCGAGAAACTGGTGACATCTGGTGCGATCGATTGGAACGTAATCTCGATAGAAACAGAACTTCGATATTTTTCAACGTCACGTTAGTTCGCGCTACCCACGGACAGGCAGATTCAAGAAATGAGATACGACGAAGAGGTGGAACGAACGGTTTGTGAAAACGGACAGAAGTTTCAAGGAAAGGATTGCCTTCAGGACCACAACGCGGCGAGATGCTACCGCCTCGTTGAACAATCGTCCCTGCACTGAATAATAACACAAAGTAAAAATGTTACCTACGAATTCGAGCAAAAAAAAATTGTGCATCTGCAAGCTGAAATCTCAAATTGTTGTCGTTGCCAAATAAGTCGTGCACAACGCAATCCTGTGGTCCCGGAATATGGCTTCGTCCACGAAGAGGTCATGGAAACTCCGTAAGTGATTGCTCTATTCGTACTTGTATATTCTTTATTTAATACATCGGTGTTCATTGTGCGACCAACGGATTCCGTTCTGGCGCTCTCTCTCCTTCGAGATAAGTAAACAATAAATGTTTACAAATCTTTTGTTGAGACCAATGATTAATTGTTCACTGCATCTTCCTATTATGGTCATAACCTGTCTTAAAATGAAAATATATTGTCTTTATGATGTCATTGAAAGCTGACATCTTGTTCAGGTTACTTTGAAAGAATAATGTGTTTCTCTGTGCAGAGGATTTTGTCGCCCATTCATCCAATGTCAATTGTCTGGCATTAGGTCACAAGTCTGGACGCGTTTTGGTCACTGGCGGTGATGATAAGAAAGTGAATTTATGGGCAGTTGGAAAACAGAATTGTATTATGGTATAGCTTTACATTTTTCTTATAATTCTTTGAGTAAAAAGAGAATCTCAGTTGAAATATTAATAAAATTTTATTTTGTAACATTTAATTTGTTACTTATATAATTCTGGTTTATTTTTAGAGTCTGAGTGGTCATACCACTCCAATAGAATGTGTAAAATTTGGACAAACAGAAGATTTAGTATGCGCTGGCTCGCAAACAGGAGCACTCAAAATTTGGGACTTGGAACATGCTAAGTTGGCTCGGACATTAACAGGACATAAAGCAGGTATACGTTGTATGGACTTTCATCCCTATGGAGAATTATTGGCATCAGGAAGTTTAGATACTGCTATTAAACTTTGGGATATTAGAAGAAAAGGTTGTATCTTCACTTATAAAGGACACAATAGGATGGTGAATAGTTTAAAATTTAGTCCTGATGGCCAATGGATTGCTAGTGCAGGAGAGGAAGGAATAGTTAAGGTAACTGTTATATAAATCTTATTTTGATATAATATAAATTAATGTAATTAATTAGTGTTTTTTTTTTTTTTTTTTTAAACTAGTTATGGGATTTAAGAGCTGGAAGACAATTAAGAGAGTTTCCTGAACATAGAGGTCCAGCAACAACAGTGGAATTTCATCCTCATGAATTCTTACTAGCCAGTGGAAGTGCAGATAGAACAGTTCATTTTTGGGACTTAGAATCTTTTCAACTTGTATCTTCTACAGACCAAAGTCATTCCTCTGTAATCAGGTAGATATTCATAATTTTTGTAAAATATTTATTTTCATTAAAGGGATTCAGTAATTCATTAATATTTATATTTTTTGGAGTAGATGCCTCTATTTCAGTCAAGGTGGAGAGTGTCTTTTTGCTGGTTGCCACGATGTGTTAAAAGTATATGGTTGGGAACCAGGTAGAACATTAGATTCTGTCCCAACTGGTTGGGGAAAGGTACAGGATATAGCAATAGCTCAGAACCAGCTGGTAAGATAATTGTTAATGAATTTGGCATAAATTAATTGATTCATAAATTAAAATTTATGTTTACTTATTATTTAGATTGGTGCAAGTTTTCACACTGCAAACATTGTTTTGTATGTGTGTGATTTAAAGAAAATTGCTCCTTTGGGAGGTGTATCAACATCTGGTTCTCCATTTAGTCACGGGAATTCGTTAAGGAAAAGTTTTTCTAGAGAAAGGCCACCTGGATTAAAAAAACATACGTAAGTTTAATATACAAATTTCATATTATTGTTATTCTTTTTTTATACATAACATTTTGTTTATAGATTAGATGTACGAACTATAGAAGAGGCAGATAAGTCTGGAACTGACCCAGAAGATGAAGCAACATATGCAGATATTCCTAATGTTACTGAATATCATGACATTTTTCAACCCAACAGGTCATGTAAGTACAATTTACAAACGTATAAATGTTCTTTGTTGCAAGATCCATGTATCATAACATATTTAAGTTCTATTCCTGTTCTAACTCTTAACTACTCACCTACAATCACAAGTCTGAGAATACAAATGCATCTAGAATTTGAATGTTCTGTGGTATGGTTTGTGAATGAGCATGCTATGCACGATATGTTTCAGTGTCTCGCACTCCACCTCCAGAACCTGAGGCTTTCCAGGAGCCTCAAGATGTAGGTGAGTTCTGTATTAAAATAAAAATTTCCTGCCTATTTCCTTCTCTTACTGCATGAACGTCAATGTACAAATATTTGTATAACCTGTGCAAGGTGTCCAATCTTATATCGTTTTGGGTGCGCTCTTTTTACAGATCCTACACAACCGCAAATATTGCAAAATCTTTCTACCTCAATGTCAAATTTAAATGTAGTGGATTCAGAAGAAGTTCCACCTATTTCATCTCCGTCATCTCCGCCTCCACCCGCACCAACGTTATCATTAACAAAGCCTGTACCAGTTCGTGTTCAACCGATTAAATCATCGCCGCCTGTTCAAAGAAATGCGATCACCACTACTAGCCAAATAAAAGGGAACCTTCAAACGAATAATGGCCTTGGCAGGACATCGAAAAATCTGGCGTCTATACCACCTCTAAGACAAAATATTACTCCTCTTCCTGGAAAAAAAAGCGGTCCTACCAATGATATAGGTACACTTCCACAACCTTTGGGTCCGCAAAGATCAAATTCTACTTTGACGCCACGTGTAGCACCAATGGCTGCTGTTCTTCCAGTAATGGATGATGGAAAATTGAAAAATAGAGCACCTAGCCCAGATTCTCCTAAGTATTACTTAAAAAGACAGAGTAGCTGTAGAGATGGAGAACAGGGTTACGAAAGCGATTACCCGGTACAGTAAGTATAGATGTTGATGCGTAGATATTAGCATATTATTCAATAGTGACAGTTATTGGAAACGCGTTTAACGTTCTTGCAGAATTAATAGTATAAGGCACAGCCCCTCCGATCCTGCGTTAAACAGGCCAAATTCTGCGCAATCTAGGTCCGCTTCGCTGAACAGAAACTTTGCTACCTCAACGTCGCTGTCTGCGCGCAACGCTTCCACAACCACGACATTTGTCACAAAGAAATCAAACAAAGCTCAAGTGCCCCCAAATCCTAAGTTAGAGGTTCGCGCATCTCAATTAAGGCCGAATGTCGAGAACACGGAGAAAGGAGAATTCGTCCCCATAAGCGCTGATAAACCCTACGGTTTGGATGTCGAAAGTTTTTTACCTGTAAGTTTTTGTTATTTAGACGACGAATAAGAAAAACCGTTATCTTCTGAGATAATAATATCCTTTGTTCTTTTGTTTTATAGAATCATTATGCAAGTTCAACTGGGTTGGGTTATTCTCAAATGGGAGTTCTCAACGAAATGTCAGAAGCTGAAGTACTCAACAGCATGATGCGTGGTCATGAATCGATGATGGCGGTACTTACGAGTCGACATCGTTCCTTAAAAATTATTTACTCTTTATGGCACAATAAGGATCTTAAGGTAATTTATCAACTTTTATCATCGCAAAATAGGAAATAAGACAGGATTGTAATAAAACATTAAATTTTTAGGCTGCCGTGGAATCTGCTGTAGCAATGAATGATCTTTCAGTTATTGTGGATCTTTTGGGAACACTGACATTGAAACCGTAAGTAATACGATTGCATACATAAGTGGAAAAATGTTTTTGAGTTCTCACAATTTTGTTCATATTTTCTCCAATTTTTTGTTGATAGAACTATGTGGAATTTGGATCTGTGTAATTCTTTACTTGGTCCAATTGGTGATCTATTGCAAAGTAAATACGAAATGTAAGTAAAAACCTTCCTTTAATATATTTTTAATTTACACCTTTCTGCTCTTTTCACTTCTCTTAAATCGTTACGTAAAAAAGAGCACAAAACATGAACTATTTACCTCTTACATTCCATAATTTTACACAAAATTGTTTAGGTTAAAAAAAAACAAGATTTTAAAAATTCGTCGCCCCATTTATCGGCATATTTTTTTTTTTTAATATCATCACAGTGGCTAAAGATTTGGATGAACGCATATTCTTTTTCACGTATATGTTCTAACGTTACTTCAGTTTCCACCGTGAAACACAACACGCCTGATGTATTAGAGAAAATGGAGACACCCTTGTCTGGGGTGAGTTCTCGAATGGCGAACGCAGGAGCAAACAGGGTATTTCGAGTAGGGTCGTATATACTTCATGTGGCTCGGGTGCCTGTATGGGAATGGCTAATTCAACGAACGGGGAAACACGAAGCGAGGAAGCTGACAAGCAAAGTAGGGTTCCCGAAAATTAGCCGAGACAATGGAAGACAGTGGCAGATGCAAATTTGAGCCTCAAATCCTCGGCTGTCGCGGGCATTATTGTTCGATTTTGAAACTTGAAGGGCCACGCATATGTGACGTACTTCATGAACAGTTACGGACAGTAAATCCTTTTCTTTCTTGGCCTGA